AGTTCTACTCTGTTCTATACTGTCGCTGTGAGGAGGAGTCGACTTGATGGCAACAGGTTTGGTTTTGATTTGGTCTTTTTAATTATAGCCATTTTAGTGAGTGTGTAGTATATCTTGCTGTGGTTTTAATTTGCATTTCCTGAATGATGAATGTGGAGCATCTTTTCAGATGCATCTTTGCTATCGGTGTAGATTTTGTTTGGTGACGTGTCTGTTCAAGTCTTTTGCCCATTTTTAAATTGAATTATTTGAGTTTTACTTATTGAGTTGTAAGGGTTTATGTATTCTAGATGCACGTCTTTTATTAGACATACGATTTGAAATATTTCTTTTCAGTTTGTTGCCTAATTTTTAAAAATAGAATTCTCTGTTTGAATTTAACGTCTATCTACTGTCTGTTAACATTTGAGCAGGGGTTTAGAGCTTTAGCCTTTCTTTTGACAGTGACCCTGATTAGGTTTACAGCCACTGTTAGCAAGTTATGTGTAGAAAAAAGGAACTCTTGGAACACTCTAACTTCTCTGAGTTCAGGGATGTATAATTGACATTGTTAAGGATACAGACTTTGATTCCTAATGAATGCTCCATATAGGTTGTAAGCCAACAAGCGTTAGAAAAGACACCAAGTACGGAACAAGGACAATGGCTGTATCTGTTTCTATTTGTACCCTTACCTCTAGAGAATCCATAGCAAGTTGGTCTATGAATGAAATTTTAGGGAAAAAATATTATAGGGTTTTCAGCTTTGGGGGAAGAAGAAATAAATGAAGGGAAGCAATCTGATTAAGTAGTGTTGTGGATCTGTCTGGCAAATGTTATGGTTTTTTTGTAGGAGTTTCTTGCTTTATGATGAGGAGGATGCAAACCTGAGTTGGGTCTATCAGTCCAGTCTCACCTCTTTGACACCAACTAAATTGAAGGAATTAAATTCCAGTTCTTCTCAGTTATGTTCCACTTCCAACTGCACATGCAGTACTTCTTCCTCTGATCCTAAACTCCAGAGCTAAGTTAGATCTCACAAGTTAAAAAGCACAGTCCTCCACACTGCCAAGTCTGTGCAAGACCTCAGACACCAGCCACAAGCTTGGGTGTCCCAGTGACACCCTTACTTCTGACCTGCTGGCTACAAATTCAGGGGTTCTTTGTATCTGCTCTGGATGTCAGCCAAAAGCTTGGAGGTCTCCAGGGCCCCTCCTTACTTCTGACCTGCTGTCTCAGGTTCAGTAATTCTCAAGAATGACACACAGAACTCAGGAAAATGCTATCTTACTATTAACATTTTATTATAGCAGAAAGGATGCATATGAAGGGACACATAGGGCAAGGTCTGGGAGGAGCTTCTGTGTCCCAAAAGGAATGTGCTACCCTCTCACTTGCGTGAATGTCTTTCACCAACCAGGAAGCCCATGGAGCTTCAGTGTCCAGAGCCTTTACTGGGGCCTTATTATGTAGGTATGATTTGATAGCTTCTCATGCCCCCTTCTCAGAGGTCAGCTGATATCATATGCTAGGTCTTTCTGGCATGGCCAGCCTCCACCTAAGACCCTTCATTAGCAGAACCTGTTAGGTAGGTGTGGTTTGGAGCCCTCAGCACAGATCCTTCAAACACTGGAGAAATTGCAGTGTTTTAGAGGTTGTCTTTCAGAAACCAAGGACAAAGACCAAATTGTTTGGGTAAATTTAGTTGTAAACCCCACAAAACCTTTCATAGATTTGATAGAGGCCATTGAATATATTGAAGTTTATTCCTGATCTTTAAAGACAGGATTGCATAGAACAGAGCTTTCATCTTGTAGCATTTTTGGAAGCATGTCGAACCGTCTTCTGCAGTTGGCTTTGTAGAAAATCAAGCACTTGCTATCCTTTATAGTCCTGCTCCCTACCCAAAATAGTGTAGTATGCTTGGGGATGATATTTTCAAATTCGTTTGTAAGTTAGAAAATGTACTACCAAAGGATTCTTTCAGTCCCTTGGGTTATCCACACCCCCCCCCCACCATTGCAGACTTTTGTTGAGATAAATCTCACATAACATAAAAGTCACCATTTTAAAGTCTAAACTCCTGCGTTTTTTAGCATATTCGCAGGGTTGTGCAACCATCACCACTGTCTATTTAAGAACGTTTCCATCACCCCGAAAAGAAACCCTGCTCCTGTTAGCAGCCACTGCCAATTTGCCTATTTTCCCATTCCCAGATAACCGTTAATCTGCTTTCTGTCTCTAGATTTCCCTATTCTGGACAATATGTGGCCTTTTGTGTCTGGCATCTTTCACTCAGCATTATGCTTTCAAGATTCATCCATGTTGTAGCATGTATCAGTACTTCATTCCTTTTTGTAGCTGAATAAAATTTTGTTGTATGAATATACCACATTTTGTTTATCATCAGTCGATGGACATTTGGGTTGTTTTTACTTTTGGGCTATTATGAATAATGCTACTGTGTACATTCGTATACAAGTTTTAGTGTGAACATATGTTTTCAGTTCCCTTGGGTATGTACCTAGAAGTGGAATTGCTGGGTCATAACTGTAACTCCATGTGTAACTTTTTGAGGAGCTGCTAGACTGTTTTCCAAAGCAGCTGCACCATTTTACCGTCCCACCAACAATGTTTGAGGGATTCAATTTCTCCACATCCTCAACCACACTTGTAATTAATTAATTATAGCCATCCTAGTGGGCATGAAGTGGTATATCATTGTGGTTTTGATTTGCATTTCCCTAATGGCTAATGAGGGGACAGTGGTGGTTCAGTGATAGAGTTCTCACCTTCCATGTGGGAGATCCGTCTTTGATTCCCGGCCAGTGCATTTCATATGCAGCCACCACCCATCTGTCATTGGAGGCTTGCATGTTGCTATGGTGCCGAACAGGTTTCAGTAGAGCTTCCAAACTAAGAAGAGCTAGGAAGAAAGGCCTGGTGACCTACTTACGAAAATCAGCCAGTGAAAACCCTATGGATCACGGTGGTCCAATCCACAACCAATAACAGGGATGGCACAGGAGTAGGCAGTGTTTCCTTCTGTTATGCACCGGTCACTGTGAGTCACAGAACCAACTCTATGATGTTATTGTTGTAAGGTGCTGTTGAGTTGATTCTGACTCATAGCGGCCCTGTGTATAACATAACAAAACACTGCCTGGTCCTGCACCATCCTTAGAATCCTTGTTATGCTTGAGCCCATTGTTGCAGCCACTGTGTCAATCCATCTTGTTGAGGGTCTTCCTATTTTTCACTGACCCTACTCTATGGTAGCTAACAACAATGACTAATGATATTGAGCATCTTTTCATGTGCTTTTTGACCATTTTTATATCTTCTTTGGAGAAATGTCTATTGGAATCCTTTGCCCTTTTTTTTTTTTTTTCTGATTTCAAATCCCATGTTTACCATTTATTATCTCTTTCACTTTGGAAATGTTTCTTAGTTTTGTCATTATTATTTTCTTAATTTTATTTTTGGTGAAAATATATACAGTAAAACTCCAATTCCCAGTTTCTAGACATAATGATCAATGACATTGGTTAAATTCATCACATTCTGTCATATTTCTGTTCTAGTTGTTTTACTTCCATTTACTTAAATCTCCCTGCCCCCCAGTTTTCTCATTTATGCTTTAAAATAGCTGTTGACCCTTTGGTCTTATATAATTTTTTTTTGTTTTTAAAGTAACACAATACTCAAAGGTGACAATCTTTACTCTTTGGGCTAAACGGTTACTTAGTTTAAAGGTGACTTCAGGGGATAGTTTCAATTCAAGGTTAGAAGAGCAGCTTGGGGCCATAGTCTCAGGGGCTCTTCCAGACTCAATAGGTCCAGTATGTCTGGATTCTTTAAGAATTTGAAATTCTGTTCTGTATTTTTCTCCCTTTTTATCAGGATTTCTCTATTATGTTCTTGATCAGAATGTTCGGTGGTAGTAGCCGGGCATCATCTAGTTCTTCTGGTCTCAAGGTGGAGGAGGCAGTGGTTCATGTAGACGGTTAGTCCTGTAGTCCAGTTCCTTCTCTGATTCTTGGGTTTCCTTCTTTCTTTTTTGTTCCAGACAAATAAAAACCAATGGTTGTATATTAGATGGCCACTCGTAAGCTTTTAAGCCCCCAGACACTACTTACCATACTGGGAGGTAGAACATAAACTTTAAGAACTGCATTATGCCAATGGACTGGATTGTCCCTCAAGACCTCAGCTCTAAGCCCCCAAACCAGGAGAGCTAATCCCATGAGGTTATGTCTAATTAGTATCAGCATCTGTAGCCCCCACCGCCCTTTTTTGATTGTTGTTATTGTTGCAAAACCCTTCACCCATTATTTTATTTTATTTTCCACTGTTCAGTTGTAAGAGTCAATTCTTTGGTTTTTGCTTTCTCTGAAATAGCTTGAATCCTCACTGTGGAGCTTGGGCTAGTGACATAGATCCCTCCTTGAAAACTCACCTGAACCCTCGCTGCTATTTTAAGCCTGATGTTTGCTGGGTCAACAGTGATTTCCATGTCTGATTTATAGAGGGTTTTCTTTATTTTCCATGAAAAATCTTTTCAAGAAGGCATAATTTGACAGTATTATCACTTTGTCATCAGCAAATTAACGAAAGACTGATAAAAGTATTTCTAGCTGGTACTATTTATTATTGGTGCTCACTGGAAGTGTTTAAGCAGAATCTGGACAGCTACTTATTGGCTTGTCATAGAAGAAATTCATGAATACTAAAGGAAGTTAGAGTAGATGCCCTTTGAGATTTCTTCCAGCTCTAAGATTCTGTTTTTATTGCATGGAACCGAAATTTGTCCCAGTGAAATGGTGTGAGAAGTATTCTGTCTTATTTTCATCATCTTTGTATAAAGAGTTTGATTCTAAAGATAATGTGGATTTACACTTTGAAAACAGAGTATTACTGTACTTCACTGTTTGCTTTTTAAAAGATTTATTTTCACCCTGTTGCACCGGAAATACTTTGCTTTCTTTCAGTTTAAAAGAATGTGTGTTTTCTTCTTACAGATTAGCAAGACATCTCCAAAAAGAGGCTCAAGCTCAACACAATAATTCTGAATTCACAGAAGAACAAAAGGTACCATAAAATAATCTCTTGATATATCAGATCCCAAATGAAAAGCGCTCTGTCTTTTGAGTCCATTAAGCAAAAAACAAACAACAAAAACCTGTTATACTTTTAGGTAGAAAGAATACTGGTTATGCTTTGCCTGAGTTGAATTTTTATCATTAAGTGATCATTTAGAGGTATCATGTGATCTGTCACCTAATGAGTTTCTTTATTCTTTGCAGTCCGGCACCAGCCATCTAGACTTTGTTTAATTTTAGTGGAGGCCATCCACACTTTGCTTGGGGTGGGAGTCGGGCGACCCAGAGACTGGAGTTCCTCTAGAGTTACTTTGGGAAAATAGAAGGATTGTGAGTAATTACATCCCACCTCAACACTTGTTTAACCTTGAACTTTCTAAACTGCTTCTCCACCTCCTCTCAGTAAAAACAAACCAAGAAGAAACAAACCAAAAAAAAAAAAAACCCATGACTGTTCAAGTCAAGAATTTGGAACAAGAATCCATCAGCAAAATAAATGCATAGGGTTGCAAAGTGTTCCGATGGTGCTCTTTCTCCTTGAGTTAAAATTTGTGTGTGCTGTTGATTGCCTGTACTACTCGAGATTATGAAAAATGAGATACTTTATGAAGCTTTACTCTAAGGAGTGGGAAGAAACAGAAGGAAACAACCCGCATTTTTCCCCTGGCTGAAAGTATCCAGTGTTAAAGTTAGTTTTCAATCTTGTAGATAAAGCAAAAAATTGTGTCAGTCTTTCCCTTGCATCTCCATGTGATAAGGTTCATCTAAAAAAAGAGAGAAAACTATGGTGACCTAATTTACTTTTACTAATTCTTTTTTTTTTTGCATAAAGGATGGGTGGGGGATGGGAGGCACTTTTTACACATAATTTAAGTACGTCTAAACATAGTTACTTCTTAGTTTGTCATAGGCGTTTGGGGGGGAAACACCCAATGACTAGGGTTAGCCATACTTCTTGCACAAGTTAGTATATTTGTATTTTTTAAGTGTTTAGGACCTACTTTATCTGATGTACTTTTTATTTCCAAAAAAACCTCAAAAACCAAAAAACATGTTGCTACAGTTAAAAAGGGCATTTTTTTCCTTAGTAATTGCTCATGTCCGCAATAAGAGCGTCATCTGTTATTTTTGGCTTCATGAACTTAGTTGATCTTTTCGTTTCTTGTTTGTGTTTGGTATTAGTGTGCATTTCGAACACTTCTGATTAGAATTTGGTATTTATCTGGGACGACTTCTTTTGTAGAAGATGTTCTGTAATCCTTCGAGCACTGAGAGATCTTTCTTTAGCCTTTCTGGAAATCTTCAGATTCCAGACCCAGAGACTTGCCCAGAGTAGAGTGAACTTCTGTTAGAACATCTCCCTGGATTTAGGAGACTTGGGAGTTTTGCCCTGGAAAATAACAGCCACGGAGGAAATGACTGACTTGTGAAATCTATCTAGGAATTGATTAGAAAATGATCAGCTGGCATCACAGAATTGAGAGTTAAAACACCTAAGTTTTGATGATCAGCATCTCAAATATCTGAGTGTATAAATTGATGGCTAACAGTGTGTTATGAGTATGAAAAAAATGAAGCTTATGGAATTAAAAATTTTTTGAACAAACATATTTTAATTATCTTTTTGCCCTGAGTTACTTATATGCTTTGTCTCCAACATCTGTTGCTTAGCTAGAGGACCTATGAGCAATATGACCTTAAATGTAAAGCGATTGCCCTTCCAAAACAAACTAAAATGGCCAAAAACAAACAAGCAAGCAAACAAAAAACTGTAGAGAAATGAGCTTTATCTTAGGATGATAATTCTACCAATGAAAAAATTAATTTTTCCTTAACGTTTTTTTAACTTTCTAAGGCTGAAACTGGTGTTTGAGAATGCTATCCTGTAACGTATAGCTGTTCCTTAGCAGCCACTTAGCTGTGTGTGTTTTTGCAATTTATCTTTGGTTACAACCTCCCCCGCGCCGCAAGATCTTATACTCCAAAAGGACCAGGAGGAAGCCTGACCTAGGGGAAAGACCCTGAAATCTGGACGCAGAAGACTTAGTCTTGAATCCTGTCTCTGTCTCTGGGTCTCAGTTTCCTTATATATGAAACAAGGGATTAGATAACACTAAATGATCTTGAAAGGTGTCCCCAGATCTTCCAATGACCTCTCCGTTTGAAGCACTCTGCACCTCCTCCTTTCCTGGAGGCCTGATTTCTGAGGTATTTATTATTTATAATACCTGCCTAGGAGGCATTTGTGGCTGCCACTTGTGACTACAGAGAGACCCTGTGCCTGCCTGCCTATTCCTTGGCTTGGAGAAGAACTCCCAAATCACTCTGTACTACATTATGAATATAAGGCAAGTTATATACATTTAAAAGTTTAATTTTCTTTAAAAATACAAGAAAAACATTCACAATGGGCCAAAAAACTCATGCTCACATTGGGCCTTATGTGAATGTCACGTAAGGAAAAAGTTACCAAAGGCCCCAAGTGAGTACATGATTAGAAAACAAGGATTTCCCAGATGGGTTCTGGGGATCGTTGGTTCTGAAAACATTATTTGAACAGAGTTTGTGCCATCTCAGGACTCTTACTATGCTAATGTGTGTATTTAATTTTTTTATTGGTGGGCAGTATTTCTTTAATATATTTGTTTTTGGAAGTTCCCCCTCCCCCTGTTCAGAACATTTTACTGGATCTAGTGTTCTGAAGAACATATGGGAAAGTTCAGTACAAACTGTTGGGTCTGCAAAGTTAATAAATGCCGGACTTGACCCATAAGCCAAGAGGAGGAGACCTGACTGTGTTTTCCTCAAAAGAGGATCGTGGAGAACATATTCTATGCAAAATTGTTCTTTACATTTTCTATTTTGAAGTATATCCTTTATACTCTTAATATTTTAACTGTTTTTGTGGCAGTGGCAAATTCTAGAATGATACCAACCATACTGTAGTTCGTGGGATATTGAAAAAAAGTTGTTTTAAAGCTTCCATGTTTCTGAAGAGATCTCCCTTCACGACGCTCACGGTGAGCTCTCAGAAATGTTTGATGAGGAAGTGCTTTAGTGGGATCTTAGGTTTTTGGTATTTATATACGATTATTATTTGAGATAGATAAATCCTAATTTTTGAGAGCGGTAGCTTCTGTGCATCTTCACAGTATTTGTTTTAAATCATGAGAACTCTAAAGCAAAACTATTGATCTCTCTAAACTTTATTAATTGGTGATAAATAGTATTAAAACTTCATATGGATTCTCTATGCATAATAATCTCAAAGAGCTCTGGTGTAAAATAAGACAGTTTATAATTCTTATCTGACCCTCCCTCATGATTAGCTGTCTTTGCTTTCATTTCAGTCCTCAGTAGTTTTGTCGTTATACCAGCTGGCCTTAGTAGCCACAGAATAGCTGCCAAAAGCGTTCATTCCATTGAATTCCCTGCTTTGCTGTAGTAGATTTTCTCATGTAAGTTTCTGGATCGAATAGAACATCCTGTCTCATGATGCTTAGAAAGTTTTTCTCTGTTTTGAATCAGATTTGGTGGTAATGAGAATTCCAGCACTATGCGCTTGTTTTACATTTTATAGGTTTCCCCCTTTCCACTCCCATCCACCCCTCTTCGTCATTCTCCCCGGTTAGACAGCAGATGACTGGCTGTTGAAATCTGAAGAAACTAAGTCTGAATAAGTGAGGCTATACTGCTTTAACTGTGTGTATTTTTTTAAACCTATTTTCCTTAGATAAGTTGAATACGTTTTAGAAAGTTAATTTAGCTTTTTCATTGCCCGTTTTTATTCCATTTTGTTGTCCGCTACTCTTTTTAAGTTGTCATTTTCCTTAGCAACGACTAAGTAAAATAGCTAATATTCTGAAAACAAGCACATTTTCTACTTCTGTGTCATACTGAGTATGAGCAGTTAATTTAAATCATTTAGTAATTTAAATCTTTCTAAAATTAAATTTCACTTACCTTCAGCGTTTAGCCTTATTTTACAGTTAGTTAGTTAATAATCGATACTTACACTTCATACACATGACCTTATGGGTCTTAACTACTTTCCTGACCAGTTGTTTCTGAGAAAGGTGAAGTTTAATTATAGAAGGAAGCTCTTGATTTTGACATCAATGTTGAAAAAAAATTAAATGCTACACGTTTGAAAAGTTATTTCTACAGATGAAAATGACAGTGTTTCATTCCTTTTTTAATACTGAGGTTGGGTGTGGTCCCTTAAAATAGTTATGAATAATGCCTATTGGTATTTTGCCATACTTCAGTAGATTCTGGATAAAAAGTTGTTGCTTTTGCTTAACTTGAAGAAATGTTTAAATTTAAAATAGTTTATTAGTAGAGTCATAGTTATAAAACTACAAAAGTTTTCTTAAATGTTGAAAGTATCAAATCAAATGGATTTTATGGTAAAGAAGGAAAAGGAGTTAACTAATATTTTTAAAGACATACTCATTGATACACTTCACTTAATATAGACAAAATCCTTTTTAAAAAAACAAATGTGAAGAATATAAAAATTGGTAAGTTAGAGCTAAACTATATTAACATAAATGTGTTGTTTTGTTGTACAGGAGACATTGATGTCTAGGGCAAGTTACTTAATGTCTCTGTGCTTCAGTTTTCACATCTATAAAATGGGGGGGAATAGTGTCTAACTCAGGGTTATAGTGAGGATTAAATGAATTAATGTTTGTAGATCACTTAGGAGAGCCTTCTACTTACTAAGTACTCAATAGTTGTTAGCCATTATAATAATAATAATTATACAGTAATTATTATTGTTTACATTATTTACTGGTTTTGTCAGATTTTAGTGGTATATTTGAACAACAACAATTTGAGGATATGAAATTTTATAGAGGAAAGACTTGCTGGTTTCTAGGCAAAAGCTATTTGAGAAGGTAAATAGATCTGCTCTGAGTATCTTAAATTCTCTGTTACTATATATAAGTATAATGTTCTCAGAATGGAATTGGGCATTGTCTAAAGTGTTATGTTGGGATTAAAAAATAATTTTTAAATATTTTGGGGGTGGTTAAGTATTGATACTTGTTCCTTGGCTGAGAGTCACGTCTTGCTCAGTAGTGGTTACTTTGTGAGTCGCCATACTGGCTGTCTATTGTAGATGTAGGAATTGTCTAGTGCCCACTAGCTAAGCACCAATGGGCAGGATAGTACTTGTCACTCCTCTTTGCTCCTCATTTACCTTCCAAAAAAATTCACAAAAGAGAAAACACCAAATCCAATTTACTAAACTTTTGCAAGTCATCAATACATTCAGAAAAACATGCCTTTTTTCCCCAAAGTATTTCATTGTTCAGGCATTGCAAATATCAGCATAAATACTTCACTCTTGGATTAGAAATTGATTTCTTCTTTAAGAAGTGTCTCTTTTGGGAGGACTTGAGAGTCTTGATGGGCATAATTCATCTGCCTGTTCTTAGGGTCTCCTCTTTTTTATTTCCGCCCTAGTCACTCATGTTCTGATTGCCACTTACCTGGACAGTTGAAATAACCAGATGCATCTTATCTTCAGTCTTTTGCGTTTTCTGCTTCAACTTATATTATATATATGCTTATCACAACGATTTTCATAAAGTGTAACTCTGATAGTCGCTCTTCTGCTCAAAAAACTTCTGTGTAATTTATTGTTAAAGTAAGAACAAATTCCTCTGTTCGTTGTTTTCTAAATTCTTTAGTTTTAGAAATCCTCCTAGTCAGTGGGGTTTGATTCCTAATACTGATTCCCGTTCTGTTTCTAGTGGCAGATCAGGTGCCTTTGCTTTTCTTATCTCACATAATAGAATATGAGCTTATTAAGGGCAAGGACTGTGCCCTGTCATTTATATTTCCTGTTATAGTTTAGTGTCTAAAACAGATCTGACTGTAAAATTTGCCACATTCATCATAAATAGTGATTTTTTGCTTAACATTGCCTGTGTTTTTAATTAAATAAGTCAAGATTGAACTTGAGCCAAAATTAATTCTCTACCATTGTGCTAGCTTGCAGGTATTTTCATTTTTAAATTTCTTAGTGAATTTCAGTCTTTATGGAGAAGAAGAGAAGGCAAGTCTTGAAAAAGACGATGTCAGGAAGGCCCTTTAAATTGTATCTGAAGGTGTTGCCAAAGCAAGTGTGGATTACAATTGGTCGTGGCAAGTTAGGGCAGAAGAGAATGTACAGCGACCCTGTCTCCCTTAGCCCAGACTTTCACCTGTTACTCTTCTCTAACGTCTGCAAGATGCTGGAAAGAAATAAAATTTAACTTATTTAAAAGAAGGATGGATCTCTTATCAATAAAAAGTAACTTGATGTTTGACAACTAACAGTTATAATATTTTTGGTATTTATAGTTTTGTTTTTTTTTCCCCTACAGAAAACCATAGGCAAAATTGCAACATGCTTGGAATTACGAAGTGCAGCTTTACAGGTAAGTAGGTTGTTTTTTTTTCCTCTTCCTCATACAAGGAAAAGAAAGTATTCTGAATGATTCTGATAAAATATTAGGCATTCATGCCCAAAGTATCACCTCGGAAGAGTTTTGTAACAATAGGAATTCATCAGTTAAACTAATACTTCTGAGATTTAATTAATATTTTGTAAACTGTGGAAATAAAATATATGATTTCAACTTTTTTCTGTTACTTTTAGCCTGAATATATCCAAGAATGCAAAAACGAAAACTAATTTGTGGTTTTCCATTTTAAACCTGGAAAGCAAGAAATAGATTCGTTTATTTTGGTTACGTTTTGAATAAATGTTTTTTTCTACTTAAAAGACATACGGTGTTTCTGGGTAATGGAAGTACAGTGAAATCTTTGTAATAAAAAGATGTATTATGCATATTTTCAATTTAGTCCACACAGTCCCAAGAAGAATTTAAACTAGAGGATCTGAAGAAGCTAGAACCAAGTAAGTTTTGTTTTTTAGAGAGACTCCTTTAGAAAAATATTTAATCTAGATCTTAAGATTATTTAGCATGTCTTAATATTTGATTTATTTTTGTTAATGTCTAATCCTATGTGATTTTTTTTGGGCTTTCATAATTCCTATAAAAATTATTGACTCTCACTTTCATGATAGAATATGGAAAATTATTTGGTGCTAGTTTGTACCTCCCCTAAATATGTATTAGCCTTTATTTTGTTTTAATCACGTTACTAAGACTAATTACTTTGGTAAACATTTGCAGTAGTCTCCTAGAAAATAACGAAGTTTTAGTCATTGATGCCCATTTACTCTATACGTCATCAAAAACTCCAGCCCAGCTATGTGAACTGCTCTACAGAATATTTCCTTGTTGACCCCATCTTCCCTTCCCTTCTTTCAAACTTTTTTGAAGTAAACAACTCCTTTGAATGTTTTGGTGGTTAGGATGCTGCCAAATAAAGCTTTTTTGCTGGTTCCAGTGAATATTCTCTTAGGGGAAATGTGTGCAATATGGGCAAAAGCACAAGAGTTGAACATAGGAGTAAATGAATTTAAGTCAATATTCTCTTCTTTCGTTGGGTCAAGACTGCACATCTTAACATTTTTATGTGAATTGGGAACAATAGTTTTACTTATCCATTTTTTAAGTCCAATTTCTAAGTAGGGATCAAAAAATCATAGTACTTTAGAACGGAAGAGTCTTAAGAGCCATTTACTTTACTCTTACTTTATACTTGAGGAAAGGGATTAAAGAATTGGTTCTGTGTCACTCAGACCCTTAGTAGCAGAGCAGGGCCCAAGCCTCAGGACTCTGATCAGTCTCGTGCTCACTTCACACTAGCACAATCGTTCACTGTCTCCGTGCTTCAGGTAAGAGGCACAAGATAAAATTTATCTCCTAAGAACTAAAGAGAATGCTGATGTAGATTCCGTAAACTGCCAGTTTCTAATTATTTTACGAAGACCTGACAAAGATATATGTTATTTGAAGTGTGCAGTGGTTAAAGAGCTTGGCTGCTACCATAAAGGTAGGCAGTTTGAATCCACCAGCCGCTCCTTGGAAACCCTAAGGGGCAGTTCTGCTCTGTCCTGTAGGGTCGCTCTGAGTCGGAATCGACTTGAGGATGACAGGTTTGTTTTTTGTTTTTTGAAGTAGTAGTAGTGTGATTATAATTGCAGCTCTAGAACAAGAAAGGAATTCTTGTGGTCTGTACTGAAGAGGATCTAATTTCTATTGTTTGTGTTGGTAGAGGGAAGTAACAGAAAAATAGTAATATGTAGCAGATTTGTTGTGACTCTGGTGGTTTTTCTGTAATTGTTAGGTAACCATATTTTTTCCACGTCTTCAGAACACTGTCCTGCTGAAGATGGCAAGAATTATGGGGAACCGTGAAATTGTAGTAATATGGTTACTTTATGTAATCACGATCATAAGCTTTTTGTTAGAAGAAACATAATTCGGTACTCAGAAATAGTAGTTCTTACCTGGATCCATGGTATGTAGGAATACCAATGAAATAATGCAAAATTTCTCACAAATTTTTAACGATTGTGCCTGGAATTTTATTTTATGACATTTTTAAGCATTAACAAATATTTTGTGTAAGATTATTTTTTATAATAGCTTTATTGAGCTGTAATTCACATACCATACAAGTCACCTATTTAAATTGTACCAATTCAGTGGTTTTTAGATTCCAGAGTTGTGCAACCAACCACAATCGGTTTTAGAACATTTGCATTACCTCCAGAAGAAACGCTGCGTCTTGTTAGTGTCACACTCCATTCCCCCCACCTCCCCAATTCCTGCCCTAGGCAACCACTGATCTGCTTTCTACCTCTTTAAATTTGCCTATTCTGGACATTTCATATAAATGGAATTATACAATATGTGGTCTTTTGTGACTGGCTATATATAATATTCTACCACCCATCTGTCGGGGTGTTGTACTGTGGTGGCTTGCATGTTGCTGTGATGCTGGAAGCTGTGCCACTGGTATTTCAAATACTAGCAGGGTCACCCATGGTGGACAGGTTTCAGTGGAGCTTCCAGACTAAGATAGAGTAGGAAGAAAGGCCTGGCAATCTACTGCTGAAAATTAGCCAAGGAAAACTCTATGGATCACAACAGAAAATTGCCTGATCTAGTGCTGGAAGATGAGCCCTGTAGGTTGCAAGGCACTCATATACAATATGGCTGCAAGAACAGACTCAGGCATACCAGTGATGGTGAGGATGGTGCCGGATCGGTCAGTGTTTCATTCTGTTGTACGTGGGATCACCACGAGTTAGAGCTGACTTGATGGCAACTAAAAATGACAACATATATAAGACCATTTTAAGAAAAACACATTGCTGGCATTAAATAAAAAATTATAACCACAGTTAGGATGTCTGTTATATAATTGTTCTAAAGAATATTATAATGTTAGCTTTTTTTAATGATAAAAATAATTGGCTATCCGTAGTCATGGTTTTCCATTATTAGTCTTTTTTAGTTGTTTCCAAAAAAATTTTAAGATTCTTACAGATACGTAAACCCATTGCCGTTGAGTCGATTCTGACTCACAGCAACCCCGTAGGACAGAGTAGAACTGCCCCCATAGGGTTTCCAAGGAGTTGCTGGTGGATTCAAACTGCCGACCTTTTGGTTAGCAGTCGAGCTGTTGACCACTATGCCACAGATATATAGGATGACTGTAAAGATTATAAACCATTTATCCTTAGATACTTATTATCGCTTTCTGTAAATATGCTTAAATATTTCTCCTGTTACCTTACAGGATCGATCTTGTGTTCGTAGTAATGGTGATCATTTTTAGAATAGCAGCTTTATGCTAGGTGCTCGTATAAATCATCTCAACTGCATCTGCTAATGGCAATACTGACATTTGCCCGTGAACTCACACCTTGTAAATGCCAGAACTGGGTTTGAACCCTGGTCTGCGGGACCCCGAAGTGTATGTCCTTTCCACTGCACTCTGTTATTAGACGCTCTGCAATGCTGACATCACTCCTAAGTATCATAGTTCTTGAGTCCAGGCCCTGCGAGGTTATTGACGCAGATGTTAGTGGAAGATTGGACTAAAACCTACATTTGTCTTCTGTTCCTCTTTTGCTTTTTTTAAGATTTGGAGCAGAGATGGAAATCAAAGATACTTTTATTGGGATTCATTTTTTTTATATTTTGAATTTATATAATAATGATTTTCATTTGGACTTTTTTCTTCTTGGTCCCTGGATGACGCAAATGGTTAAGTGCTTGATTACTAGCTGAAAGGTGGGTGGTTTGAACCCACCCAGAGGCCCCTTGGAAGACAGGGCTGGCCATCTGCTTCTGAAAGGTCACCGCCTTGAAAACCCTATGGAGTGGTTCTACTCTGCACACCTGGGGTTGCCAGGAGTCAGAACTGACTATGACAGAAACTAACAACGTTATCTTTTTAGGTAGTTTTAATTTAAACTTTGGAAAGGAGCGTAAATGTGTGATTTTTAGAGTATAGGCTTCGGAGATGTCAGGTCCATGCTCTGTGACAGCAGGCTGGCAGTGAGAAATTGTTACTAACAGAGTGTGCATCATCAGATGTCTGCCTTTCTCTGGTCCTGAGTGTGTAAGTTCTACTGAATTAAACAATTACCACCCCATGATTTGCTCATGATAATACCTTCTACAGAATTATCAGCTTGCTTCTCCTCTTGTCCAAACCACTCCTAACGTCTCTTTAGAAGCATCACTGAATCTCCTAAGTCACTAGTATTGGTGGAAGGAAAACCCTATGTAAAGTTTACAGTAGGACCCTATTTGAAAAAGACATTAGAATCTCTGTTATATCCATATTGGTGAAATGAAAACCTATAGTTGCAGGCAATGAGAGAGGATCTGTTTTTCTTTTTCCCCTTCTAAATTTCCCCAAATGTTAAATATCTGATATACTCGGTACTTGTAAATGCAAATGAATGAGAGACTGTTATGCCAAGACAAGCATTTCCTTTTCAAAGCATTGATACCAAAGACAGAAAATACTGTTTTATTCTCGTATTACAATAAAAATAAGGTATTCTTAGACTGATATAGTTTTAAACTTGTTTTTCTTGATGCTGTTGTACGCATATTTTATGAGTTGGTTTTCCCCTTTTTATATTATCAAAAAAATCTGTGCTGTTGTTTCTGGTGTAAAGGATACATGGTCTTTTATTTTTTTTGTCACGCACTCCAGTCTCGGTATCTAGCGCAATACTGTGTAAGTAACTAGTTGATATTTATTGAGATTAATTAATAGTTTACTCACAATGAACCATCACGCTTCAAATCTAGAAAGGATATTCTTATAATTTAACAAATAGTGCTTCTTAGTGAGATCTGAAAAAACTAAGATTCTAGTCAGCTAGAAGGGGAAAACTATGGAGGGGATGAGTAACCATATAATAATGCAGGCTTATACTTGTATGATAATTTAGATTTTCCCACGCAGTTTCATATGCGTTATTCAATTCTCTCATCAGTCTGTGAAGGAGGTGGCATTCCCATTTGAGAATTGGAGGAACTGAGATTCAGAGTAGTTATGTGAATGCTCAAGTCATGGCATAATTGTAGGTCTAGGATTTCATACCTTCTTTCGTCTTCTGCCACTTCCTCCTTGCTTATCAGACTTCAGCTATGCAGGCCTTTCTGTTCCTTAAACAAGCGAAACTAGTTCCTGCTCCAGAGCTTTTGTTGTTGTTCTAGTCTATTCTCTAATACTTGAAAAGCCCTTGCCCCCAGAGCCACTTGTGGATGGTTCCTTTCATCCTTGGTCTTGGCTCAAATGTCTTCTAACAACTTGGTTTTGAAAGGCTTTCCCTGTCCGCCTTAGCTAAAGTTCTCCTTCTAGTCCACTTACACAATCATTCTGTTTGTACCCTTAAACACTGATCATAATCCTCTATTATCTTGTTGGCTTATTTATTGTCTGCCTTTCTTGACTAGGATCTAAATTCCATGTATAAGGACAAGAACCTGTCTTGATCACTGCCATGTCTTTATCACCTAAAACAGTGATGAGAACATTATGGGCACTCGATGCTTATTTGTTGAAAAGAAGGAAGAAAGAGAATGCAAGGGAGAGGGTAAGAGCTGGAGGAAGAGAGAGAAAAATAAGAATGAATGAGAATTTAGACACAAGTCTGGACTTCTCTTTTACTGAAGGATTTGGTAGAAGTACATGGAAAGAGCCTGGTAAACAAATATGACTCCTGTTGAAGTCAGTCATATAATTGCAGCCGGTGCTGTTGAGATGTTCTCCTTGGGATGCCAATATGTCATACCTGTTTTAGCTCTAAACTGCCGGACTCCAGAATTAGAGAAACTGAATAAGTTGAGTACAAAATCATGGGGGCCTTTGAATTGCCCAGTTAATGCTATTAATTCACATCAATATAATTGCAAGTAGTTACTGAACCTATAAGCCAGAAAGGGAGCATTTAATTACATACTTACAGTACCTCTCCAGAGGTAGCCAGAACTGTGGAACGTCTTTCTTTAGGTGCACATGCCAGAATATGATTACTGAAATATTTACTGACAACAACCAGAATATGGGAGGTGGTACCGTGTTGTTTAAAGGCTTCTCCTGAGGATAAACCCTTCTTTATGTGTGTATACATTTTATAATAAAACTTTATGTGTGTGTATGTGTGTGTGTGTGTGTGTATATGTATGTGTGTGTATATATGTGTATATATTTATTTATTTATTTATAGACTCAAACTTCCAACCTTTCAGTTAGCAGTTGACCAAGATTGGAAGTTAGAGTCTATCCAGAGATATCTCAGAAGAAAGGACTGGTGATCTAGTTCTAAAAAATCAGCCATTGAAAATCCTATGGAGCACAGTTTTACTCTGACACACATCGGGTTGCCATGAGACAGAGTTCACTCCATAGCAACTTTTTTTTGTTTTTAAATACATTTTTTCATAAATGAATCTGAGAGTTATAACCTTGCTACTGCAAACTTTACCAGTTTGATGGGATTGGGAAATCTCCTTAGGACACAGAATATATTAATTAAACTACTCCAGGGAGGAAGCGTTCTCCTTCTGCGGGTATCTTGTGTCTCACCTAGGGCCCAGTCCACAGGAGAATTATTTTGGGGCTCAGTTTCCATGAGGACTCTGACACTCTAAAACTTACTCTCCTTGGAGATCGGACAATACTCCAAATTTACTGCTACCTGGAGTATACTATGAACATTTTCTTCTTGCTAAGACCTTCAGTGGACAAAATGCATTGTGATTCTGGAACGATGGTAAGATTGGGAATTTAAAAAAATATGAACATGCATGGTAAAATTGATTACAAATAGTCATTCTAAGATAAAATTTTTTCTGATTAATGGAAGAATTTATATTTCTTTTTCTCTATTTTATTCTAGTCCTAAAGAATATTCTTACATATAATAAAGAATTCCCTTTTGATGTTCAGCCTGTCCCATTAAGGTAAAATAAATAACCACCAATATTTGTTCTCTTATTTTATCCTCCTAATTTATTCTGTTTTGTTGTTCTTAATCACCATTGGATATCTTACCTGGGAAATGAGTAACCATGAGGCCTCACTAGTATATGTAGTTTTTTTTTTTTTCTTTATATCAATAGAGTCCATTTTTAATTCTTTCATCACAGAGATTTGTATGCATAAACAGTACATTGTGTTTCTCTGTGTTTTTGATTTTTAGATTAACTGGGAACATAATATATTTAGAATTCTGCAGCTCACCTTTTCTCACTGCACATTGTGCTTCCCAGACCTATTCATGTTACTGTGTACACTTATGGAGTTTGTCTTCTTTTCCATGGTTTCTCTTTTCTTTCATTATGTCAGTCTCACTCTATCTTATTTACTGTATCTGTAATAAATCTTGATAATCTGCTAGTGTAAATCCTCCGTCTTTGTTCTTCAGCATTGCCTTAGCTCTTTGGCCTCTTTCTATTTCCTTGTAAGTTTTAGAGTTAGTCCAATTAAAACTGCTGAGATTTGTATTTGAATTGTGTTGAATCTCTAAGTTAGGGAAAACTAACATGTACAATATTGAGTCTTCCGATCACACATCTTTTGTTAGATTTACTCCTAGATATTTTATGATTTTTTTCATGCTGTTGTAAATGGTATGTTTTAATTGGAACAAATGAAACTCTTAATTGGTTTATATTGACCTTGAATTCAAAGACTTTGCTAAATTCATTTATGAATTCTAGTAGTTTTGCTGATAGATTATTTTGGAATGTCTATGTATGCAGATATGTCATCTGCAATAAAGACAGTTTTCTTTCCTTATGCCCCCCTTTTTTTCTTGCCCCATTTCTGTTCTCAGACACACAGTATGTTGTTGAATAGATGTGGTAGTGGAAGTCATCTTGGTCTCATTCTCAGTTTAAGGGATTACGTTCCAATGATTTACCATTAAGTATGATGTTTGTTGTAGGTTTTTTGTGAATACTCTTGCAGATGAAGGAAATTGCTCTTTTATTCCTAGCTTGCTAAGAGGGTTTATCATGAATTGGTGTTAAATTTTGTCAAATATTCTTCTTGTATGTATGATCTTGATCTAATTATTTTCTTTTTCTCCCCCCCATTAGTATAGCGAATTACAGTGATCAGTTTTTTTTTCTTAATTTTATTTTTGGTGAAAATATACACAGCAAAACCCACTCTGATTGCACAGTTTCTAGACATAATGATCAGTGACATCGGTTACATTCTTCACGTTGTGTCAACATTCTCACTATTTCTGTTCTAGTTGTTTCACTTCCATTTATTTACTCTCCCTGCCCCCCAGCCTTCTCATCTTTGCTTAAAAATAGCTGTTGACCCTTTGGTCTTACATAATTTTTTTTAAGTGCCGCAATACTCAAGGGTGACAATCTTTACTCTTTGGGCTAAACAGTTACTTAGTTTAAGGGTGACTTCCAGGGGTCGTTTCGATTCAAGGTTGGAAGAGCAACTCAGGGCTATAGTCTTGGGGACTCCTCCAGCCTTAGTAGGTCCAATATGTCTGGATTCTTTAAGAATTTGAAGTTCTGTTCTACTTTTTCTCCCTTTTAATCGAGATTTCTCTGTTGCGTTCCTGATCAGAATGTTCAGTAGTGGTAGCCGAGCATCGTCTAGTTTTTCTCGTCTCAGATAGAAGAGTCAGTGGTTCATGTAGTCAGTTAGTCCTGTAGTCCAGTTCCTTCTCTGACTCTTAGGTTTCCTTCTTTGTCTTGTTTTCCAGATGAATAAAGACCAACAGTCATGTCATAGATGAGTACGTGTAGTTTTATAGCTCATTATTTTTCTGTCTTTTTTCATGTAGAAGAATTTTAGCACCTGGTGAAGAAGAGAATTTGGAATTTGAAGAAGATGAAGAAGAGGGTGGTGCTGGAGCAGGGTCTCCTGATTCTTTTCCTGCTAGAGTTCCTGGTGGGTGTCACTTATTTAAAATACACACGACTTAATCCAAGGTCTTTGGAACTTATCTTGGTACTTGCTAAAAAAAAAAAAAAAAATAGAGTAGAACTGCCCCATAGGATTTCCAAGGAGTGGCTGGTGGATTTGATCTGCCGACCTTTTGGTTAGTAGCCGTAGCTCTTAACTGCTGTGCCACCGAGGCTCCATTGGTACTTGTTATGGGGAGGAAAACCTCTCCACAGACTGTGCCAATCTTAAGCAGATTTTCATGGCCATGTTATTAGCAGTAGCTATTTTATAAACATTTTCTGAAAGTGTCTGTCTGTGCCGGAGGGTCCCCAACATCCGTGTCAGGCTTGGTGATTCCCAAGGAGGATTCACAGGACTCAGCATATAGCCACATTTATAGCTATGATTTATTACTGAGAAAGGATACAAAACAACATCAGCAGAGACAAGAGGCACATGGGTGACATCCAGAGGAGACCGAGTGCAAGCTTCTAAGAGTCCCCTCCCATTGGAGTCACACAGGATGTGCGTGCTCAGTTCCTCCAGCACATTGTGATAGCCTGTGTGAAGGGTGTTTATGGGGGAAGCTGGTTAGAGGCTCAATGCCAAGGGTTTTTGTTGGGGGCTGGTCACAGAATCAGGAGCCCTGGTAGCAAAATGGTTAATTGCTCAGCGGCTAACCAAAAGGTCAGTGGTTTGAACCCACTGGCCACTCCGTAGGAGAAAGGTATGGCAGTCTGCTTCCATAAAGATTTACAGCCTTGGAAACCCTATGAGGCAGTTCTACTCTTCCTATAGGGTTGCTGTGAGTCAGCGTCTACCTGATAGCAGTGGGTTTAGTTTTGGGTTTTTTTTGTCACATAGGTGGCTTCTGTCTAGCACCTACCAGATTTAAGATCCCTGGAAGAAAAGCAGATGCCCAGCATAAACCATATTATCAGCACAAACCATTTAGGTACAGTGAGCCATTCTAATCAGGAAATGGTGGGAACCCTCCCAAAATCCTAGATCCCAGACATCAGTCGGCCTTCCTAGGGAGAGTGGTCTCAGGCCTGCTGTGTTAACTCTTCTCTGTACGCTATCATAAGTACTTCTTAACTGATCAAACTGTGGTGATAAAAACTAGACCCAGGGGAAAAATGGCCTTTTTCTGCCTTCTTGTGCAGAGAGTACATGGGAAGCGTTTGTAATTGACCGGAGATCTTGATGATGCTCTTCCTTCCCCTGTAGATAACCTAGGCAGGCACCCTGGGTGAATGGGTCGCCTCTCCCAATCACTGCTTCACTCTGTCTGCTGTTCTTGTACAGTGCACAGTTTTTGCTTCTGGTGAACTGGTGCACTTTAGAAAGTATAGCAATCTGTTGTAATACTGTGATACATTTTATAATAGACTCTAGAAGCTTTGCAGTACAGTGGGATAAAATTTATGTGTAATCCATATCACTTTCTTGGTAATAAAAGTAAAAGTAACATTCCAGGATTTTAATACTTCTTAGGGGATGAGGAGGGGCCCTGGTGGCACAGTAGTTAAGAGCTTGGCTGCTAACCAAAAGGTTAGCAATTCGAATCCACCAGCCGCTCCTTGGAAACGCTATGGGGTGGTTCTACTCTGTCCTGTAGGGTCGCTGTGAGTTGGAATTGTCTCGACGGCAGTGAGTTTGGTTTTTTTTTTAGGGGAAGAGGTGTTATGGAATAAGAAAAACGTTGGCTTGGACCAACAGATACCTGGGCTTGATTTGAGGCTCTGTCAATCAGTAGTTGGGGGACTTACTTTGCACCTGTTTCTTAAGTCAATCGTAAACTCAATTTTTTTATTTATACAGTTGGATAATAATAGTAACTACCTCATAAGGTTACTGTGAAGAAGAAACAAGGTACTACATATGAAGGTACCAGCTGGCATAGTATTTGTCATGTGCTAAATATTGGTGGCAATTATTAGTCTCATCATCACCACCATCTTTAAATGGGGATAATAACACCTACATTACAGGGCTTTTGGAGAAATTACAGGCGCTCTAGATGGTAGCTATTAGTGTTAATAACATTTCTTTGGTATAGGGGCATTACTTGTAATCCGCTTTGCTTTATAAAGAGAAGGCTGTGTTTTCCTTGCTGATGTTGTAGGTGTAGGAAATTTCAAAATTGGTGAGATGGTGAGGTAAGTTATCTTGCTGTTTTTATTTCCTTTCCAAACCATGTATTGTAATTGAGGTAGCTTTAAGTTCTGTAAATTTCTGTCTAATTTGTTTGCTCACTTGCTGTACTTCTGTAGCAAATGAGATTTCTTGAAGCAGATCATATAAATCATGAAACAAACAGATGAAGGTCTTTATGGGAGTTCAGGTTGCTGAACCAAAAAAGACTAATACTGTAAATTAATCCATTTTCTGTGTACGATTAATCCCAAATTGAATAGATCTTTGTATTCTGTTATAGCATCATGGTATTTCATTTCAACGGTCCAGAAAGTTTTCAGAACTTCTTTTTCCTAAAAGTAAGAAAGAGTACGTGTAATTTAATTAGCTGTGTTTGGTTTTGGATCATATTGTCTAGTACCTGTGTCATTAAAAAATAACTTGTAAAGTTATATTCACTGAAATTTATATCATTGAAATAGCAAGATGACTACCTTTTAACTTAATCAGAAGCAGGCAAATTTTTCTTTTTCTTGTTACTCTGAGGGACCCAAGATTTCAGTGATGACTAGGCTGTGTCTGCATTTTGGTGACAGGGTGGTTCTAAGAATTATTTTGACTTTTTTTTTTAAGTTAGGTTTATTGAGGAATCATTTTCATACATAAAATTCATCCTGTTTAATGTACAGTTTTATGGGTTTTGACAAGTGAGCACATACAATTGTGTAACTACCACCACGGTTAAGCTAATGAGGTATGAGCTATGGCTGTGGATGTGGTATGACCCAGGATAGCCTTTCTCATTAAAACTAAAAATGACTTTTTAGCCAACCTTTCTTGGGGGAAAAAAAAAAAAGTAGTTAAGCTTAGCTTACTTCTGTTGATATTATACTCTGTCTTTCCTTTTCAAAATACTAAGAACTCATAAGGCAAACAAAATAAATTTCTGTTAAATAACTGGCATAAGCCAAAATGAGATTTAATTTTTCTAAAGGCAGAGTAGGGCTCTCACAGTCTTTACGAAAGATATAATCATCGGTAAATGTTATGGATTGAATTGTATCCCCCCAAACTGTGTGTCAACTTGGCTGGGCCATGATTCCCGGTATTGTGTGGTTGTCCTACATTTTGTGATCTGATGTAATTATCCTGTGTTGTAAATCCTAACCTCTGTGATGTTAATGGAAACCCTGGTGGTGTAGTGGTTAAGTGCTATGGCTGCTAGCCAAAAGGTCTGCAGTTCAAATCCACCAGGCACTCCTTGAAAACTCTATGGGGTAGTTCTACTCTGTCCTATAGGGTCGTTATGAGTCAGAATCGACTGCACAGCAGTGGGTTTCTTTTTGTTTTTTTTTTAATGATGTTAATGAGGCAGGATTAGAAGCAGTTATGTTAATGAGACAGGGCACAATCTACAGGATTAGGCTGTATCTTGAGTCAGTCTCTTGAGATATAAAAGAGAGAAGCGAGCAGAGAGAGAGAGGGACCTCCTACCACCAAGAAAGAAAAGCCGGGAGTGGAGTTTGTCCTTTGGACCTGGGGTCCCTGCACTGAGAAGCTCCTAGACCAGGGGAAGATTGATGACAAGGACCTTCCCCCAGAGCCAACAGAGAGAGAAAGCCTTGCCCTGGAGCTGGCGACCTGAATTCGGACTTCTAACCTGGACTGTGAGAGAGTGAATTTCTGTTTGTTAAAGCCATCCACTTATCGTGTTTCTGTTACAGCAGCACTAGGTAACTGAGACAGTAATTTTCTGAGAAGCCATTGCCTCTTTAACATTCTGATCTAGGAGATAATATACTACTGTTTTGAAACAAAGACTATCATGCCATTTCCTGCTTTGAACCAAAAGGAAAAAATCTTTCTTTCATTGTGATGTGTAATATAAGCAACAGCAATTTGTTCAAACAGCAAAAATAATAGATTGAGAAAAGACACAGCTGTCTTCTGTATTTGAGGACAGGGTCTTGAAGGATTTCACTGACCTCACTTTCTCTGTAACCCTATTTTCTTCCATCGTCTTAGCAGACTCATTGTCTCTGGGGCAGGTGGTCCATTCATAGTGTGGTTCTCTGTAACCTCTATTGTCCAGAATGTCTTTGTCCACACCTGGAAACTGATTCAACGTGAGGAGAATCCTGCCCTAGGCTGGGATCTTCACTGTTGCCAGCTTCCTCTGGGAACAGAGAAGTTGTAGGTGAAGGAGGAAGGGCCCCAGGCGTTCCTCCCCTTTATTCTCTACCAGTCGCAGGAGGGAGGGTGGTGCTGATGACGGAGCAGTGTGACAGGCGAGGCAGGAGCAGTGGCCAGGCAGGTCCTGGGGCCTCGGATGCCCAGCGCCGCAGAGGCTTGGCTGGGGCAACCCTCCTGTCCTCCCAGGGAGGCAGAGGCGATACCATACTCTGCAGAGAGCCCGTGTGGTGTTAGGGCAGACAATCTCACACAGTTCTAAAACATTCGAGTAAATTAAACCCACTGCTGTTAAGTCAATTCTGACTCGTAGCAGCCCTATAGGGCAGAGTAGAACTGCCCCATAGGGTTTCCAAGGCTGTAATCTTTAGGAAGCAGACTGCCACATCTTTCTCCCACGGAGCAGCTGGTGGGTTCGAACTGCCCACAGCAGAGCCCTTAACTACTGTGCCACCAGGGCTCCTTCAGATAAATTGATCTTTGTTGAATAAAGTTAACCATTTTTGCAGTATCATCCAGAACTTCTTTTCATCTCATCTGCAAGAGATTTGAAGCAGCACCTCTCTGTGAAGAGACGGCATGTTGTGACAGTGTTGGGATTTTCTGTTTTATGAGAGAGCAGAACCTCCCGTGGAGCCCGCTGTCGAGGGCACCATCAGCACACATGCTGGTGC